AATATACCATGGACTACTAGGAGAACAAACAGATTCACCCTGGAGACGGTGAGACCAGGCTGCTCCTTGGAGGCAAGGATTCCGAGGCTTCGTCTGACATATTCTGGACATGTTGCTAGGAAGGACCGGTCCTTGGAGAGGGACATTATGCTTGGGAGGGTGGAGGGACAGCACAGGAGAGTAAGATCCTCTAGGAGATGGATTGATTCAGTGCCTGGGGTCATGGCGGTGGGTGTGTCAGAGACAATAAAGTTGGCACAGGATAGAGCAGGGTTCAGGGCTGTTGTACATAGTCACTATGTGTCACAAGTGACTCAACGACACATCGCAACAACATATGAGATACAGCGTCACCAGCTGGGATTCATTTGTGTCTGACTCCCAGAAGCCCTGCAGGACAGAGCAGAGCTGCCCCATGGGGTCTCCAAGGCTGTGAATCTTTCCAGGAGCAGACGGCCTCCACTTTCTCCCTTGCAGCAGCTGGTGGGTCTGAACCACTAACCTGCACTTAGCCCCTGAGTCCTTTGACCATCATCCTATCATGCTGGCTTTTAATTTATAAACCCAACCTGCAAAACAAGTATCTGTGAGCCAGTGCTGAGTGGATGTGACCCCGAGGGACTGGACAGAACTGCTTTCAGGGAGCAGACCACCTTCTCCTTTGAGCCAAGGACCAGCCAGTGGATTCAAACCGCCAACCTTTTCCTGGGCACCTGAGCGCCTTGGGGTGGACGGACTCACAGGCAGGTCTCACCGCGTGCATTCGGTGGGCCACCTCCAGGGCCTTCTGCTTGGCGGTCTCCACAGCGTAGGCGGAAGGCGTGGGGAAGGAGCCTTTCTCCAGCGTCTCCTTAAAGTGCGACGGGACCACCTCGAACCGGAGACCCTGGGGACACAAAGACGGCAGGTGGGTCAGGAGACAGGACGCCTGACATGGGTGAGAGAAACCTCCACCTCGCTCTCCACGGCCCTGTGCATTTCTCCAGGATGCTGACAGCTGCATGCACCTGGAAGAACTGGGGTATCACGTCTTTTTTATTATTATCCCTTAGGTGAAAACGCATAAAACTGCAAAGAGGTATTACGTTCCTCTGCTTGTTTCATTCACTGAATGTGCAAAACTCAAGGATTGGGTCCTCAGCCTCGTTTCTGTCCACATGTTCACAGTGTCCAGCTCCAGCCTGCTACTTGGTTTCCAACTCTCACAATCCAGGCAACAATGATTATTAGGAATGCTTTTCTCTCTTTTTTTTAAAAGAATTATTTTAAAGGGAGCTCTGGTGGCCTAGTGGCAAGACGCTGCACTGCAATCCCAGAAGTACATGGTTCAAATCCACCAGATGCTCTGCTGGAGAAGGAGGGGGCAATCTCCTCCTGTACCAGTCAGATCTGATTTGATGGTACACGTAAAAATAATACAATAAAAATTTAAAACAAATTATTTTATATTGATTTGCTTAAAAAGTTAGTACACATGTGTTTCACACAATCCATTAACATGGTGTTTCATACCATCAATCCCAGACATCCTGGGGTTTTATTTTTAATTTTTTTAAAAATTTTATATTGGTTTACTTGTTACCAGCAGCCCAGAAATTGAAAGACGAATTGCATGCAGACCGCTGTCAGAGACCTCTGCAGAGTACTGAAGAGCAAAGATGTCAGTCTGGAGACTAAGGTGCACCTGATTGAGGCCATGGTCTTTGCAATCACTTGCTATGCATCAAAGAGATAAACAATGACAAGGAGGATAAAAGGAGAACTGACGCCTTTCAGCTGTGGTGCTGCAGAAGAGTATTGAATATACCATGGACTGCTAGGAGAACAACAAGGTTCATCCAAGAGAGGGTGAAACCAGGCTGCTCCTTGGAGGCAAGGCTTCTGGGGCTTCATCTGACATACTTTGGATTTGTTGCAAGGAGGGACCAGTTCTTGGAGAAGGACGTCTGGAAGGATGTTTGGGAGGGTGGAGGGACAGCACAGGAGAGGAAGACCCTCTGTAAGGTGGATTAATTCAGTGACTGGGGTAATTGGGGTGGGTGTGTCAGAGACAGTGCGATTGGCACAGGACAGACAGAGTTTAGGGATGTTGTCCATAGAGTCACTATGAGTTGCAGGTGACCTGATGGCACATAACAACAACAACTGATTTACTTACACAGTTCATATACATTGTTTTCCCCCTTTCTTTAATCCACCTCTCCCTCCACCCATCAAATGGTATGACCATCTGCTTTAAATCCCCCCATGCATTGTTTTATAAAATCAATCACCATTGAATGATTCCCACCACTACCCTGTCTTTCCATATGTTTGGCCAACTTCAGACTGCAAAAGTGGCTAGACAGAGTGCCTGATTCAGGCCATGGTCTTTCAGATCACTTGCTATGCATTTGAAAGTTGGACAATGACTAAGGATCACAGACAAAGAACCAATGCTTTTGAGCTGTGGTGTTCGAGGAGAGCTTTCCACCATCCCATGGACTGACACAAGAACACACTAATGTATGTCTTGGAGAAGGTGCAGTCAGCATGCTCTTTGGGGGGCAAAGACAAGAAAGCCTTGTCTCACATACTTTGACATGATGCTTGGGAAGGTCCGTGAAGGAGAGGAAGCCCTCTAATGACATGACTGGCCACAGTCATGGGCTGGAGCGTGTCAGGGAGGATGAGGACTGGGCAGCACAGGACAGGGCTTAGATCTGTGGTTCACTAGGTCTCTAAGGGTCAAACTTGTCTCAACACCTAACAACAACTATAACCTTGTTGGGGGGGGGAACAGTTTTTGCAGATGAAATTGACTTCATGTGAGGTCAAACTGGAGGAGGGAGGGTCCTGGTGTCCTCTGAGTGGTGTCTTTTTAATAGAGGAGCTGAGACTCACAGGAGAGACAGCTGTGTGAAGCTGAGAGATGTAGTCATGAGTCCAGGATCACCTGGAGGACCCAGAAGCTGGGAGAAATGAGAAGGGACCCTCCCTCAGGCCTACGGAGGGGCACAGCCCTGCCCACACCATGCCCTCTGGCTTCTAGGACAGGGAGAGAATAAAGCCCAGTGTTTTATTTTAGGAGCCTAGACAGTGTGTCTCTTTAGCCAGGCTCACAAGACGCTCATCTGTTCAAGTCAACTGGATCTACTTTTACTGAGGTTACAACTCCTCTCTGAGAGTTGGGGAGAGAACGGGGACACAGCCAGGCAGGGTCAGAGGGCAGTATTGAACAACGGCACTGACAGGGGCTCACGGTCAGTCAAGAGGGCAAAGACTGACCATCGCCTGAGGCTGTCAGACAACTTGGATTCGGATCCACGGCTTTGGGGAATTTGACAAGAAGGCTGGAAATGACGGTATAGGACAGGAATGGGCTAGGGGGTGGTGTGGCCCAACAAACACTTACAAAGAGGGTCTGGAGGGAGTGGAATGTGGAGCCGTCCACAGCATTAGGGGGACAGGAGGGTGGACTGCAGACACAGAAGGCATGTGGTGGGGAGAGTGACCATCTAGGAACAAATCTGTTCCCCCTTCAGCCCTTGAGGGGGGCTGACTCCATGCTGGTCCCAGCCCAGACCTCCTTCCACTTCCAGATCCTCCTTCACAATGTCCACCTCAGTCCACTACTCTCCCTGTTACTGTCCCTCCTCCTCCAGACAGAGCCCTCTCCCCACTGTCCTCCCCAGTCCTCTCTCCTTCCTATAAATTCCCCAATCTTATGCCACTTTCTACAAAACTTCAGTCCAGTCCACTTATCAATAGGCAGACCCTCGTACACAAGGGACCTCAATAGGCAGACAGACCACTGTCCAGTCCTCTCTGGCTTGGCCCCACAGCCCCCTGATCATGCAGACTGTCCCTGATCATAGTTTGCAGGCCCTGGAACTGACCCTTAACCTAGGTCCCTGACCGTAGCAGCCCCAGCCTCGGATCTAGACCCCATCCCCTCCTCGTGCCACCGTTATTTGATGCTGGGCGGCAGATCTGAAGTCTGGATCCCGCTTCTGGCCTCTGACATGTGACCCTGGCCTCTGGCCCTGACCTCGGCCAATGGCCAGCCCTCTGCTCACCGCTTGGTTGAGGATCTCCTGGCGGCGCGGCGAGGCGCTGGCCAGCACCACGCGTTTGTGCAGCAGCTTCCCGATCACCGGGGACAGGACCATGGCTGCAGGTGACCACCGCGCTGACCACCAGCCAAGACAGCGGGTTTTCAGTGTTGGACCAGCACGCCAGCTCCTAGACAGGCCACGCCCCCCGACGCAGGCACGCCTCCACAGGACTGGGCCGCTTCTAATAAGGCCCGCCTCCTGTTACGTCGCCACGCCCTGCCTGCGGCATCCTCGGCTCCTGATTGGTGTAGAAGCTCCGCCCTTCGGCTCTCTCCAGCTTCCTTGTGGTCCCTGCAGATGAGGCTCCGCCCCATCGAGCGTCACGTAATGCCACGCCCACAGCAGCCACGCCTCTCCAATCCCCTAGCCTGCCTTAGACAAAACCACGCTCCTAGGGCGGGCTTGCCTCTGTAGGAAGCCCCGCCTTTGTGACGTATACCACGCCTCTTACGTGGCCACGCCTACTCCTTGTCACGCCCATTTGCTGGCCCGCTTCCAGCCTAAGCTCCTCCCCTTTTGCGTCTGCGACCATTACATCTCTGCTCGACGTATCGTAGCTCGTCTTGCTGAGTAGGTCCCGCCCCTAAGATTGAGCCCCGCCTCCGATCCTTGCTACCGCCCCGCCCCCTTTACCAGAAGTCCCGCCCAACCGGAAGTTGTACTTGGGACGGGGGTTGGCACTCACGGGGTGGGAGAAGGGGGTCTCTGCTTCTTGGAAGTGGGGCGTTTTCGCGTGGATTGTTGGGGCTACACGTGTGGGGGCCCCCAGGTCGTGGAAATGGTGGTTCTCGTGAATATGATGGAAAAGCTTAGCGGATCCCCCACGTGCTGTCTGACACCGATACGGGGTTCCCCCAAAGGGCACGGGGGTGCATCAGGGATATGGGGAGACCCTACAAGCGCAATCAGGGAGACATGCATATGTAGGGTCCCCTGTAGGCTCAGTGAAGCTCAAGGGTAGGCGTGACACCCATGTGGGCAGGAGGAATGGGAAATGGGGGTTCCTCCCTGGGCGCAGTGATGGAGTACAGATCGGGGTGACCTGTGAGTGTAGTCAGAGCATGTGGATATGGGGGTACCCTGTAGGCTTGGTGAAGAGGTGAAGACATGAGCGTGGCCACCACTGCCCAGTGAGTGACCATGGATAAGGGGTGCCCGCTATCAAGGCAAAGGGGCACGGATTTGGGGTCCCCCATTGTCCTGGTGAAGGGGCAGGCACAATGGGAGCGGTCCCCTAGGGATGCGGGCGAGGGAAGGCGGATCTGGGGTCCCCTGTGTGTATGGGTTCCAGGGGGTGCAGTGAGGGAACGTGGATATGGGGGGAACCCCCCGCACAGCAAAGGGTCCCAGGTATAAGAAGGTCCCCTGTGGGTTCCCATTCGATCCTTTCCATTTCCTTCACCTGCCTCCCCACCAACCAAATTGTGCAGCTCTGTAACTGCATCCCCGCAATTTTCATCCTCACCCCTCTGCTCCCAACCCTCACCTCCTTGTATCCCCAACATGGCTTTCCAAAAAAAAAAAAAATTAAAAAAAAAAATAATGTCCCCTGTGGATGTGGTGAAGATACAGAGAATGGTCCCCAGAGGGGGGATCAAGGAGGGAATGCAGATATGGGGGGTTCTGCTTGCGCTGCAAAGGACACATATTTGGGGGTCTTCCCTGGGCGTGGTAAAGGGGCAGAGATATGGGGTGGTCCCCAGGAGACTCAGTGAGGGAAGGCAGATATGGGGGTGGTCTCTGTTGGCACCACAAAGGGACACGTTTATGGGGGTCTCCCATGAGAATAGTAAAGGGAAGAAGGGCATGAGTGGAGCCCCTACAGGCATATTGAGGGAATGCAAATATAGGGGTGTCCTGTGGGCATGGAGAAGGGGTGAGGACATGTGGGTTCTCGTGTGCGGTAAAGAATGCAGATGTAGGGGTCTCCCAGGGGCATCTTGAAGGGATGCGGACATGGGGATGGTCCCCATGGGAGCAGTGTGGCCACGCAGATCTGGCGGTCCCCACAGCCACTCCAAAGAGATATATTAGGATTCCCCGTGAGCGTGGTGAAGGGATGGGGACATATGTGTCCCCGTGTGTGCAGAGAAAGAATGTGGACTTAGAAGTCTCTCGTGGGTGTGATAAAGAGTTGGGGATATGAGGGTGGTCCCTGTGGGAGCAGTGAATGAATGCAGATGTGGGGGATCCCCACTGGCACAGCAAAGGACCATAGTTGTGGGGTCTTCGGTGGACATGGTGAAGGGGCAGGAAAAATGGGGGTGATCCAGGGGGGCCACAGTGGACAATTGTAAATATGGGGTCCCTCTGTGTAGCAAGGGGACACAGATATGGGGGTCTCCTGTCAGCATGATGAAGCCATGGGGAAATGGAGGTAACCCCCATGGACAAAGTGAAAGAACACAAATATAGGAGTCCCCCACTGGTGCGGCAAGAAGGAATAAGGTATATTGGGGTCTGTACATATGGGGGGCCCAGTTTGGGGTTCTTGGTGCATTGGAAGGCTGAGGTCATGAGGATGTCCTTATAGGAATGGGATATCCTTATAGGTATGTTGGGGGCCAGTGGTCCCTGCCAGTAACAGGAAGTACTGTGTCTTTAGGTATGGGGGAGTCCTGTAGGTGACGTGAAGTGTCCCCAATGGGCAGCGATGAATTTCAACAATGTGGGATGCTCACTAAGCTCAGTCAGGGGAAGGTAATGGGTAATTGGGGGTCTCCATGAATGTGGTGAAAGCACATTGGTGGGATATCTTCATGGGGGTGACAAAGGGGTGTTGATAAACGGGTTTCCATGTGCTCCGTGAAAGGGCATAGCTGGGGCCAAGAAGCCCAGAATGTATCCTATAGTGTTTAAATCTGAAATGTGTGCATATACCAATGATCCACTGCCTTTTAGGGACACCCAACCCTGCTCTGTTTCTCATAATCTTATCATTCAAAGGTGTGGCTGTCATTCTCAGCACCGGGTGTCTCGTGGGTGCTTTTCACGGGTTCATTCCCGACAGACACGTCAGTCTGTCCTGTTGACAAATAAAACAGCTTGATGTAGGGTCGAGTCTGGCCCTCCATCTGGCTTTTGCGCTAGGCCACCCAAGGCCCCAGTTTTTGTTAACAGAGTCATTGAAGGTGTCCTAGAAGGATGAAGAATGTGGGGATGGAAGCAATGAAAGGGGAAAGTTAGGTTTAGGTAAAACCACAGGACTGCAGAGTTTAGGGTGTGTGTGTGTGTGTGTGTGTGTGTGTGTGTGTGTGTAGCAAATGGGAAGGTTTTGGGTGCAAAGACAGGATATTGATGGAGCAGGGCCCGATCATGATTGCGTTTCTAGAAAACATAATGTGTGTGAGAATGATTGTATGAAACACATGTAAATGCAGTGCAGTGAGACACAATGGACAGAAACCTTGTAACAAACTGATTAAAAAATACTACAAAATGTATATCAATGACTGAATGAAACACGATATTAAAAACTGTATAAAACACAAAGTATACGAAATGTAAAGGAATTATTCTATGAAAACAAATTACAATTTTTTTTTTTAAAGAGGACTGGAAGCCAGGAAGGGGAGACCTGGTCTCCTGGGCATGTGGTCAGGAGGGGTCAGTCCTTGGAGAAGGACCTCCTGCTGGAGAAAGTGAAGGGTCAGAGAGAGCGAGAGGAAGACCGTGCGTGAGACGTATGGATGCAGGGACTGGTCACTAGATGAGTGGACCCTGGCAGTGATCCTAGGGAAAACACAGGTCTAGATCTGCTGTTTCCAGAGTTTCACAAGCACCCCTGACATTTCTCCTTCAGCCTTTTCTTTTTTTAAAAAAAAAAATTAAATTGTATTAATTTGAATGAACATTTACAGAGATTTTGGGTTTCCATTCATTCATTGTTGCACTCTTCCAGCTTTTTCAAACGCTGTTGTCCTTCTAATCCCACAGAGGGCCACATAGCACCACGTCCAAGCACATATTATCTCGTACCTGAATGCTTCCTGGTCTTTTTTTTTTTTTTAATTATTCCTTTTTAAAATCTGGTTTTTATTTTGTGGTGTTGTTGATGGTAGACACATCAGGACCCACTTCACATCCTTCAGTTTCTTCACGTGTTGTGATTCAGTGACCCTCAGCGGTGACGTGCTTGGAGCTGGGGGACCCTGCTCTCCCGTCTCCTCTGAGCTGTTTTTCCTCACAAACACAAACACAACAGCCCACCTCTTTTGTCTTAATTTCTCCAGTCACAGGAGGCCTGGCCGGTTGTCCCGCCAGGAGATGAGGTCCAGAGCTAAAGACAGCAAATCTCTGGTAGTTCAGATCTACTCACCACCCATGAGGGACAAAGAGGTCATTCTCCCGTAGTGGACTTGAACCTCAAAAACCCACTGGGATTGGGGGGGGCAGGTGGCTTCATGAGTTTGAGAGTGCGTTGTTTGGTGTGATTTTTTAAAAATTCAGTTATCAGGGAGCTCTGGTGGCCTAGTGGCAAGAAGCTGCACTGCAATCCCAGAGGTTGTTGTTATGTGCCATCGAGTCGTCTGCGACTCATAGCAACCCTATGTACAACAGCCCTAAACCGTGCTCTATCCTGTGCCAATCTCATTGCCTCTGACACACCCATCCAGATTACCCCAATCACTGAATCAATCCACCTCATAGAGCTGTCCCTCTACTCTACCCAGCATGATGTCCCTCTCTAAAGACCTGTCTCTCTTTACAACATGTCCAAAGTATGTCAGACGAAGCCCCAGAATCCTTGCCTCCAAGGAGCCACCCGGTTTAACCCTCTCCAGGATGAATCTGTTTGTTTTCTTGGCAGTCCATGGTACATTCAATACTCTTCTCCAGCACCACAGCTCAAAGGCGTCAATTCTCCTTCTATCCTCCCTAGTCATTGTCCAACTCTCTGATGCATAACAAGTGATTGCAAAAACCATGGCCTGTATCAGACACACCTTAGTCTCCAGAGAGACACCGTTGCTCTTGAGTACTTTAGAGAGGTCCCTAACCGTAGACATTCCCATCGCAATACATTTTTTTATTTCCTGGCTACTGGTGCCAAGGGTGTTGACCGTGGAGTTGAGCAAACTGAAGCTGTGAACACTCTCAATCTGTTCACCATCCATCCTGATGCTACCAATTGGTGCGGTGGTGAGAATTTTTGTCTTCTTGACATTGAGCCTCAGTCCATACTGAAGGCTGCAGTCCTTGACCCTCTGCAGTAAGTGCATGAGGTCCTCCTCAGTTTCAGCGAGCAAAGTTGTGTCATCTGCATAACGCAGACTGTTGATAGATCGTCCGTGGTTCAAATCCACCAGATACTCTGCTGGAGAAGGAGGGGCAGTCTCCTCATGTACCAGTGAGATCTGATTTGATGGTACACAACACAAAATAATAAAATTTTTTAAAAAATTCAGTTATCAATATAGAGATTTACCACTTAATGATGTTATATTTCATAACCATTTGTGATTTACATGAAAGTGGGCAGAACAGATTGGTTTTCCACTCAGTGGTTCTTACTCCTTTCGCAGGGTGGGTTAGATTTCAAGACCCACACATAACAACACATATTCCAGTAATTAGATCTTCAAAGATTCCCCTTGCCCCCCCCCAAAGAAAAAGTTATAGGCAGAGGCAGGCATTTGGACAAGGACACAATTCACCTCATTTCAAATGTGTCTCTACTTGGGGAACAATATGGCTTTCCACAGGACCCCGGCCACCTCCGTAACTATTTGCCTTTTAAACCCAGCTGAGAGTACAAGTCCTGCCCCACCCACCCTCACTTTCCCTCCCCCAACTTAACTTTCAAGCTTTGGGTGTCTCTCCTCATCCCTTAAACCAAGCCCTGAGTCCCTGAGTCCATTGTGACTCCTAGTGACCCCAGAGGACAGAGCAGAGCTGCCCCATGGGGTCTCCAAGGCTGTGAATCTTTCCAGAAGCAGATGGACTCAGCTTTCTCCCTCCAAGCAGCTGGTGGGTTCAAACCCCTGACCTTGTGGTGACAGCTGAGTGTGTCCCCCCTGTGCCAGCAGGGCTCCTGAGAGTCTAGATACATAGTATCTCTCTAGTAGCCTCTCCTGAGAGTCTAGATACATAGTATCTCTCTAGTAGCCTCTCCTGAGAGTCTAGATACATAGTATCTCTCTAGTAGCCTCTGTGTGTCACTGTGCACACACACAGTGTGGAGGGAAGGCAGGTCTCTCCTAGAGTGGACCAGGCATGAGATACAGAGTCACCAGCTGGGATTCATTTGTGTCTGACTCCCAGAGATCCCGCAGGACAGAATAGCCCCCTAGGCCCTTCAAAGCCATCCACATTGACAGAATCCTCTGCTTTGGCTTTTTACCTTCAGGCCTTCTGGTGGGTTTGAACCACTGAACTTTTAGACAGAAGCTCAACACTTCATCCAATGAACCACAAGCCACTTTTGTTTTCTGGAGACCCAGAATCCTCGAGCAGATCCTTTGGGGGTGTAGATAGACTGCACCTCACAATTTGCTGACATCCACTCTCTCCTTTCTTAAGCAGACAGAGGTGGGATCAGGGCTGGGACCCTGCCCCCTAAGCACCTCTCCATTTTAATGGTCCCTTTAATGGTACAGAGAGCTGCCAAGTAGGAAAGCTTGCACAGTGGGGTCCCCTTGGAGGGGATAAACCTGGGGACCAGGAATAGCATAGCACCCCAGACAACCTGATGCGCCCTGACATCTGTCTCTGAAAGCCCCAGCTCTCCACGGAGGCCGGAGCACCAGGTGGCTGGTCCTGGGCGCGGGGGGGGGGCAGGCGCGGGCAGCCACACGACATCGCAGCCCAGATCACAGCAGCAGCTCCAGGTTCCTGGGACGGGGGACTGTCCTGCCTTTTTGCAGGACTTCAGCTTGCGTGCCACGTCATCGGCGTCCACTGTGTCACTCTCGGCGGGAGCGCGCAAGAATATAACCAGCTCCTTTCCCCAAGCCAGGTGCGCGTGGGCGCCCCTGAGCCTTTCAGCCACCTGCCTGGGCTCACCTGTCCTCCATCCACGTTGATGCCAAGAGGTGATGGACCGCACAAGCTCACCGCTAGCCAGCGAACCAGGATCATGAATCCTATCTGTGTCTTCCTGGGGCAGATCGGTGCGCGGTGGGCTCACTGGCTCTCTTCTTTCGCCAGAAGGGCGTCCACGTGAGAGGGAACAGCGGGTCTCCCGGGGCGCGCGGACCTTCAGGGTGGCCGCTGGGAGAGACCATGCAAGCTTCACTCCTCTCCAGAAAAGAGCGGGCGCTGGCGGGCTGTGTTCGGGCTGTGTTCGCTGGTCCCTGACACCTCCCATCGGGCGACCTTGGAGCCAGAAAGAGGCCTGAAGATCGTGCGCTCTCCCCGCCTGCCCAGGGCGCAGTGCGCCCTATGCGCTGGGGAAGGTAGGGGGCTCAGAACACGCTCTCCTGCCGTTGGAGAAAGGCCCTGCCCACCGCCTCGGGACAGTCCCCGCCTTGTGTGCTGGAGCCGGAGCGCGCCGACAACGTGCGCCCGGAGAAGAGGCTCTCGCGGCGCGTGTCCAGCGTGTCGACGCGCGGGCTGCGGTGGCCCAGGTAGGCGCGCAGACGCAGCTGGAACTCCTTGGAGGCGAAGTAGTAGACGAAGGGGTCGAGGCAGTTGTTGAGGCAGCTGAGACAGAGAGTGAGCTTGTACACGTGGTAGTAGCTGCGGCCGAAGAAGAGGCGGCTCACCATGTGCACAAGCAGCACGAAGTTGTTGGGCGCGAAGCAGGTGACGAAGGCCACCAGGACCACGGCCGCCAGGCACACGGAGCGCCGCTTCTGGCCCTGGCCGTAGCCGCCCGAGGTCTGCAGCAGTTTGCGGATGGTGGCGGTGTAGCAGGCCACCGTCACGCCGAAAGGGATCAGGAAGAGGACGATGAAGAGCGTGAAGAGGAAGACCGCCCACGTGGCAATGCTGGGCAACATGGTCCACTTGAGCACGTCGAAGCAGGTCACGATGCCCAGCGCCTCCACCTCGTAGGTGAGGTCAGTGAGCGCCAGCGGCAACAGCGCGGCCAGCAGCAGGAGCCACAGGCCGGCGCAGGCGGCCACGGCGTAGCGACGGCGGCGCCAGCGCGCGGCGGTCAGCGGGTACACGACCCCCAGGAAGCGCTCGACGCTGATGCACGTCATGGTCAGGATGCTGGAGTACATGTTGGCGTAGAAGGCCACCGTGACCACGTTACAGAGGGGCACGCCGAAGACCCAGTGATGCCGGTTGCGGTGGTAGTAAATCTGGAAGGGCAGGACGAGGGCCAGCGCCAGGTCGGTGAGACTGAGGTTGATCATGAAGATGATGGATGGGGAGCGAGGCCCGATGTGTCGGCACAACACCCACAGCGAGAACAGGTTCCCCGGGATGCTCACCAGCACCACCAGCGAATAGACGGCCGGCAGGACCACAGCCAGCGTCGGGTTGCACAGCATCTGGAGAGTGGCGTTGTCCGGCTTGGAGAGGTAGCGCTCCATGGCTCGTGCAGATGGCTTGGCTTGCAAGAGAAGAGAGAGAGAGAAGATATCAAAACTGGCGGTGTTTGAGGAGCTTACAGACACTGGGGGAGTTTGGAGAGGTAGCGCTCCCTGGCACAAGCAGGCGCACACCGCTAAACTGAGAGAGAAATTGTGAGATCAACTGTGGAAGGAGAGATGGACTTGGGGTGGCTCCGCTGGGAAGAGAGGAGAGAGAGAGAATCTCAAAACTGACTGAGTTTGGGAATTTACAGACACTGGGAGAGTTTGGAGAGGTAGCGCTCCCTGGCGCGTGCAGGTGGCTCGCTGGCAAGAGAAGAGAGAGAGGGAAGATCTCAAAACTGATGGTGTTTGGGGAATTTACAGACACTGGGGAGTTTGGAGAGGTAGCGCTCCCTGGCGCAAGCGCGTGCGCACCGCCTAGGCTGAGAGGAGAGAAGCTGTGACATCAAGTGTGGAAGGAGGAATGGGCTTGGGGAGGTAGCGCTCCATGGCGCGCGCAGGTGGCTTGGCCTCGAAGAGAGAGAGAGAAGATCTCAAAACTGATGGTGTTTGGGCATTTACAGACACTGGGAGAATTTGGAGAGGTAGAGCTTCCTGGTGCACGGTTTCCGGGGGTGGCCTAACAGGGAATCTCGGATTAGAGGAGAAAAACTACGACCCAGTTGGACCTTAAACATCCCCACATTAAGGCTTAGGGAGTCACAGACAGGTGGAGGGCTTGGAGAGGCAGTGCTTGGGGCACATTGCGCAGCAGGCTCAGGGTGGATGGCTCAGCCAAGAGTAAAGGGGTACCCAGATAGGATTGGAGAGGTGACGCTCAGCCTAGAGGCTCCCTAGAGCAACAGCAGATAAAGCGTGAGCCTGGGGGTGTTTGTAGGATCACAGACACCAGCAGGGCTTGGAGAGGTGCCTCTCCATGGCGCGCAAAAGGCAGCTCATCTTGGTGGCTAAGGGGAGAGGAGAAGGGGGAAGGTGTGGGCCTGGGGACCTGTCATCTCCTTGGCACATGCATGGTGCAGCTCAAGTTGGGGGGGGGGTGTCAATCCACCAGGTGCTCTACTGGAGAAAGATGGGCAGCTTCCTCCCCTGAGATCTGCATCTTCTGAAAACCCACTGGAGGGTTCCGGTACGCATCAGTTCTGAGTTGGTGCCAATGAGGGGTTTTGGTGTTTTTAAAGAAGGACTGCATTTCCTTAGCAAGAGACTGTCTACAGCAGATCTCCCTCAAAAGGCACCAACGCTAGTCTGCCTTAATGTTGTCTTTGGCAGTCGGAGCTGCTCTGTCTGGGTCCCTCAAACGAACTCCTGCAACTGTTTCCAAAATTTGAGCTAAGAGGAGTCAAGAGTTAAGAACTGCACAGTCCAGAATCCCTGAGCTCCTCCTTCTGGGGAACCGCAAACCTCTGCTACAATGTTTCCCTGAGGATTCAGAAACCTGCTTTGGGATACATTGGATACATTTGTTTGTTCTCTTTCAAAGGTAGCTTTATCTGACTTGCCTACAGGAGAGGATGCACACCCTGGCTGGAGAAGGGAATATTTGTTGTGTGGCTTGGGGAAGTGGGGTTCGGTGGAAGGTGGGCAGCTTTCAGCTTCTCATGGAGAGAAGGAGAATTCCAGATTCTGCACTCCTTCTTGGTTTTAGGTTTTGTTTTGTTGTTTTGTTTTTCCAGGTGGACCATACTAGATGTTTCTTCCGAGGATGCCTGGGGCTGGAATTGAACCATTAGTCTTTCAATCATCAGTGACAACACTGTCATTTATTGTCCATCGGGCCTGGGACTCGCCTCTGAGTCTCTGTGATCCCCTGCACTATGGAATAAAAATCCTGTCCGACGCTGCCTCATAGTGACCCCAGAGGATTTTAAGGTGTTAACTGTCATAAGTGGTCAACCAGGCACTTCTTCCTAGTCTCTCTCAGACTATAAGTTTTGCTAGAACCTATCCACCATGGATGACCCTGTTTGTCTTTGGTGATATAGTTTCCAGCGTCCCAGCCACATACGTTGAAGATGATGATGATGTTTGCGTATTGATTCCACTCTGCCCCTTCACATATAGAATATTAACTCTTTGCTTATGAGAGAACTTCTCAGAGAAGGACACAGTCACGTACTCATCAGAAGGTTACTGGCTCCAGTCCACTCAAGTGTGCCACAGGAGAAACAGCTGACCATCCCTTTTTTGGGGGGGAAAAAAACCCCAAAACAAAACACCAAACCCAATCAGCCCCTGGTCCCATAAGGACCCCCAGTGGCCTCGTGCTAAGAAATTGTGCTCCCCAACCAAAGTCAAGAAGTTCGAATCCACCAGCTGCAAGAAAGAAGAAGGAAGAAAAGTGGACAGTCTCCTCCTGTGTGACTGATTTACAGCCTCTGAAAACTCGCTGGAGGGTCAACGAGGGGTCAGTTCTGACTCGATGGTCATCAGCCACGCCCCCAGGGGGGTGCAGGGCTCCGCTGTCAGCACACGAGGGCGCCGTGAGCCCGCCAAGACTGGACAGCAGGTTGGACAATGATTGTTGGGATGCAGGCAAGTGGGCAGCTCTGGGAGGCCGTGGCCGGGTCAGCCAGCTCTCTGCCAAACCCCTGACCTTGTAGACGTTTGTCTCAGCATGTTGCTTGGGGTTTTGCTGAAGTCCAGCTCTTGGTGCCTTGCACAGCAGAGGTCAGGAAATTGTGAATGTCCAGCTGCACGCTGGACACTGACCGTGGCACCATTCTCTGGCCATCAGCTTCACTCTGGCCATCTGCATCCCCTGATGCCCAGGGAGCCTCCTTATGGATCCTTTTAACAAGAGTAGGACAGCACTGTCCACAGAGTGGACACTGAGTCCTGGGACTCCCATCCCCCTACATCTATCTTGGGATATAGCCCCACCCCCACCCCAACCCCCACCTTCAGTGGACAGCCAGTGTATTAACGTTTTATGTCGCATGGTCAGATGGTTGTGGTCCAAAGGCCCCCCAACGGGGTCGGCGCTGATGACACTGACCCCGTGCTCACAGGAAGGAACCACATCCTGGCCCAGCCGCACCACCTCTGCTACACTTGAGTCCAGTGCTGCCGTCATGGCCGGTCCACCTCGCTGTCCTTCAGAGGTCATCTGCTTTCCCAAGCACGATGTCCTTCTCTTCCTTGTCTGTCTATCTCTATCTATCTATCTATCTATCTATCTATCTATCTATCATCTCCTATCTCTCTATCATCTCCTATCTATCTGTCTATCGATTATCTATCTATCTACCATCTCCTATCTCTCTATCATCTTCTATCTCTCTATCTATCTATTATCTATCTATCTATCATCTATCTATCATCTATCTATCTATCATCTATCATCTCCTGTATCTATCTATCTATCTATCTATCTATCTATCTATCTATCTATCTATCTATCTATCTCTATCTATCTATCATCTATCATCTCCTGTATCTATCTATCTATCTATCTATCTATCTATCTATCTATCTATCTATCTATCCTCTCTCTCTCTCTCATGTGTCTCTGTCTCTCACCTACCTACCTACGTATCCATTGCTGATCTAACTCATGGTGACCCTCCATTGTGTTTCTGAGGCTCTGAATCTTTATAGGAGCAAACAGCCTCACATTTCTCCCTGCGAGAACCAGCTGGATTTGAACCAGTCACCTGACTGGTTAGATGTCTGACCCATTATGCACTATGCCACCAGGAACTTAAAATATTATCAGTTAGGTTAATAGGAGGCCAAAATGAAGCAAGGTAGGTCCTGGTTCCCTCGGAGTGAGGTCCTTGTAAAAGAGCAGAGACCCAGAGGGGAGTTGGCCATGAGAAGGTGGAGACAGAGATGACAGAGAGGCAGTCATAAGCCCAGAACCACATGGAGCCCCAGCTGCTGGGAGAGTTGAGGAGGGACAGTTGCCTGCAAGCCTCTGGAGGTGGTGGGTCCAGCCCTGCCCACACCTTGACCTCAGATGTGTGTCTGTAGAGCTGGCACTGAGCAAAGAGGCCCTGTTGGTCTAAACAGCCTCTCAGAGTCAGGTAGCAGTGGCTGCATAAGGTGCCAAGCGCGTGGTGGATGCAGTGAGCAACGTCCCTTTCTCTCGGTTTGAGTCCACGTCTCAGCCGCCACCCTCGCTCCCCTGCACGCGCCCCACCGGGGGTGTCTTCCTCTCAAGAGATTTGCCATCTGCCGCCAGAAGCTGGTGCTTCCTGCATCTAATTTTAAACGGTCACAAGTTTCACTCTGAGTGTGACGGCTGGAGCCCCGGCTGGCCCGTGTGCAGCAGGGGGGACGTCCACACCGAGGGGGGGGGCCCTCACCGAGCCAGTCACTGTGGTCAGGAAAGAAAGAAGGGGAATGTTCCAGGTCCTGGTGGACGGGCTGAGGGGACACAGCCAGAACGTCTAACCGAAGTGGGCATCTCACATGACGTAGGATCACAAAGGCCAGCTCACAGCTCACGGGCACCAGCTTCTAACTGATCCTGTCGCACGTCTTCAGAGACAGAGAATCACTGGGGAGGAGATGGCCCAGCTTTCTCCCACAGAGCACCCGGTGGATTCGAACTCCCTGCCTTGGGGTTGGAGGTGTTGAGTCATGATGAGTTTAGGATGGAGACAGAGGAGAATGTCCCCAAATGAGTTAGTAGGTTTTTGCCATTGTGGAAGGATCTCCCTGGTGAAATACTGGTTGAGGCACTGACATGGAAATGTCAGCCATTCATATCCACCAGGCACTCGGAGGGAGAAAGCTGAGGTCGTTTGCTTCTGAAAAGATTCACAATTTTGGAGACCCCATGGGGCAGCTCTGCTCTGTCCTGTGGGGTCGCTGGGAGTCAGTGAATTTGAGGTTAGCCTTTTGTGTGTCTGTGTGTGTGTGTAAATATTACAAGTTGGCCTGGTTTTGACAACGAGGGCCTGTGGTTAGCACATATACCCAAGAGTCCTGATTAGTGATTTAGAGAATTGATAAGGCATCTGGGTCTCTGCAGATACGCAGGGACAAGGCGG